CAAAAAAAAAAAAAAAAAAAAAAAAAACCTTTAAATTTTGATGAAGTCAATTTTTTTCTGAGTGCTTTCTGTGATCTTTGAAACACATGACTATTCCCAGGTGACAATGATATCTTCCTATGTTGTCCCCTAAAACCTTTACATTTGAGACCAAGATCCACCTTGAATTCACAGTTGGGTCTCGTATGAAGGGATTGTCGAATCATTCCCACACAGACACCATTTTACCGCAGTTTGTAGAAAAAATATTCCATTCCCCACTGGATTACTCTGATGCCTTTGTTGAAAATCAAATGACCATATAAGCCTGTTTTTGGGTCCTCTATTCTGTTCCATTGATCAGCAAGAAAAATACATTAACTCATGAAAAAACTATAAAAAAACTTAAGAGGGCATTTTAAAAACGACTTCCCCCGCAAAATGAAAATTTCTCCTCCATTCAGAGAAAATTAGAATTACGAGATTTTGTTTGTGCATGTACTCCCATGCCCGGCTAATGTTTTGACTTATTGTGGAGATGAGGCTGTCTTGAACTCATGGGCTCAGACAATCCCTTCACCTCGGCCTCCCAAAGTGCTGGGATTACAGACTTGAGCCACCACATCTGGCCTATTTTAGTTTTTTAGAGACGGTCTCACTCTGCCACGTAGGCTGGAGTGCAGTGGCATGATCATAGCTTACCATAATCTTCAATGCCCAGGCTCAAGTGATCCTCTGGAGCAGCTGGGACTACAGGTACATGCCACCAGGTCCAGCTAATTTTTTTTATTTTTTGTAGAGACGAAGTCTCGCTATGTTGCCTAGGCTGGTCCTGGGCTCAAGCAATTCTCCTGCCTGGTACTGCAGACATGAGTCACTGCACCTGGCCGAACATTTAATTTTTTTTAGTTTTGAGTCAGTTTCACTGTCACCCAGGCTAGAGTGCAGTGGCAGGATCACAGGACCAGACCCTGGACCTGCGGGCTCCGGCAGTCATTCCGTCTCAGCCTTCCAAGTAGCTGGAACTACAGGTGCATGCCACCATACCTGACTCACTTTTATTTTTTTATTGTAGAGATGAGGTCTTGTCTAGTTGTCCAGGCTGGTCTTGGACCCCGGGGCTCAGGCAGTCCTCTCACTTGCACCTCCCAAAGTGTGAGCCATTGTGCCGGGCCAAGCTTTAATTTTTTAAAAACACCAAGTGGTGCTAATTTCCTAGTTAAGCAAAGATATAATAATTGATCTACAGATTTCATACACAGGCAATGTTACTGAGTTAAAAAGGAAATCTGAAATTTTTTCAAGTTTTTAAATAAATTGCTCCAATAATGTAGGGGAGTTTTCTGACTTCCAAGGCCTGTAAGAATTTATAAGCATTGAGGGATGTAAGGCAAATAAACAAACAAAAAGTCACACACAGAAGAAGCTAAAAACATGGCAGAAGTGTCCTCTTGATAATCAGACGATTATCGTTAAAAAAAGGCAGCAAGGCGACTGTGTGAAAGCAGCAGTGGGACCGTGGCGTTCTCCTGTTCTCAAGGCTTCGCACTGTACCGGCATAGCCCACAACCCGCTCCCTGCCTGGCATCCCACGGGACCAGGCATGTCCTGGATGCTGTGGCTCTCTCCAATCCCCCCGCATGCCATCGGCCTCCTGGGCAAACACCAGTCCGCACAGCGTGTGCTCCTCTCAGCCACTCATCCCCAACGTCTGCCTGGCCAGCCTCCTTCCTGTCTTACGTGCTCCTTCTGCAGAGGGGCCTTCCCTGACGGACTCTCCTGTGTGACGTGGAACTGCCATACCCCCCACCCCAGTTAACTCAATTCATGTCCCCCTGCTCCTGACACCCAACAGGATGACAGCTGTCTGCTGGGATTGGGAGGTTGGTTCTAGGACCCTCCTCAGATACCAGAATCTGGGGATACTCAAGTCCCTCATATCCAGTGTCACAGCATTTGTACATAACCTAGGCACATCCCAACTTCTTTACATCTCTAGATTACTTCTCATACCTAGTACAGTGTAAACACTATGTAAATAACCGTCACACTGGTTTCTTCATTTATATATTATTTTTTTCCCCAAACTGTGGGTGGGTAAATCCAGATACAGAACCCACAAAGACTGATTGTATATTTTTTCATTTGTATCTACATTTGTTATTTACATCTAATTCTCTTAAGCAATTATAAATTTCATAAAGACAGAGCTTTTTATCTATTTTGCTCACAGACCGAACAATGTAAAATGTGAATAGACATTTATTGAAAGATGAGTGAGCAAAATCAACATTGAGTTCAAGACAGAAGTTAAGGGACTTACCAATAGACTGATTTTGCATAAAACTCAATATTATCAGAAAATTCTCCGATCTCGTCTTTGGCGATACTCTCTAACCAATCTACCACCAGCTAGGAAAGAAAAAGATCAGTATTAACTAGAAAATCTAACAGGGTGTGCGTGTGCACTTAGTAAACAGGGTCTTGCTCTACTGCCCTGGCTAGACTGCAGCAGTGCGATCACAGCTCACTGCCATCCTGGGCTCAGTCTCCTGAGTGTCTAGAAAGACAGGCATGAGTCACTGTATTCAGTCTGGTGATCTATTCGTAGTGGGATTCTTACCCATAAATCAAACCATTTCTGACTTAAAAAATACCAAGCAAAAATTTTTCCAAGCACTGTTTTTGCTTTTTAAAGATAAACATTAAGGCAAAAGAATGACATTTTCTATAGGAATAATAGTTTTTACTGGCTATTCCTGAAAACATTAGGACTATTATTTTAAAATCAGAGAATAAGGTTTCTAATTCCTTTTCATTACAAATAAAAAGACCAAGTTAAAAAAAATTAAGGAAAAGGTTTTAAATTAGAAAAACTCAGTACTTTGTATGTCTCTAAACTTTTCCCCATGTTTCATTAAAAAAAAATTAAAAACTTCTAGTCATACCTGACTTTGTCGAACAAGTGATTCTCTCTGAAATAATGTTTCCACCACTGTTTTTTCACTTGCATTAAGAGCCTATTATAAAAATTTAAAGGACAGAAAGAAAAGAAGGTGGTCTAAGAATATTATTTCAACAGCAAGGTTAAAAACCAGCCAGAAATAAGAGCATTTGGTTATTCATACATAAACATTTTGCTACATAGTAAATGTGCATATTCATCTTTGAAAATACTGATTGTATAAATAAACTTCAAATTGCTAGATCAATCTGTAGCTGTTCTTACCCAATTATCTTACTTCTTTACACTTGGAATTTTAAAATTCTATTTTCCCAGAGACGATGTTTTAGGGAAACAAACACAAAATAAAATGAAACAAAAATTTGTAATAAAGGGCTGGATAGCAGAAAAATAACATTTTAAAACTGCAAAATCTTTGCAGTCTACATAGCAGAAGTTGTTAAGTTAGAACCTAAGAGCAATCCAAAACTCTTAAGAATGACTTTAGGCCGGGCTCGGTGGTTCAGCCTGTAACCCCAGCACTTTGGAAGGCTGAGACAAGTGGATTGCCTGAGCCCGTGAGTTCGAGACCGGCCTAGGCAACTTGGTGAGACCTCGTCTCTACAACAAATCAAAAAATAGCTGGGCATGGTGGAGCATGCCTATAGTTCCAGCTACTTGGAAGGCTGAGTCGGAAGGATCACCTGACCCCAGCAGGTCGAGGCTACGGTGGCCATGAGCATGCCACTGCACTCCAGTCTTCCAGTCTGGGTGACAGGGTGAGACCCTAACTCAAAAAAAAAAACAAAAACAAAACCAAAACTAAAAGACTGACTTTAAAAGACAATTTAACATAAATACTAGCAAGTAATACCAAGTAGTTTATTAAAAGGATAACAAACTGTGACCAGTTCAAGCGTGGGGTCAAGCTTTTTGACCCATTAAGCTAGTCAGTCCATTTTATTCATGTGTTAAAAAGGAAATGTTACGTGACCTCCTTGACAGGTCCCAAAATGCCATTTGATTAAAAAAAACTTCATAAGTCAGAAACAGAAGAAAACCTCTCTAGTGGAATATATGTTGTAACTGAAACCTCTAGCAAGTGACACAACTGCCCTTGGCATCCACCGGGGGTGGTTCCAGGACCCCAGTGGACACCAGAGTCTGTGGATACTCAAGTCCCTGATACAAAATGCCATCATGTACTCCACATCACCTCTAGGTTACTTAGATGATCTAACACAAGGTAAATGCTTCGCCAATAGCTGTTTTACGGCATTGTCTAGGGGAAAATGACAAAAAATCTATGCATGCTCAGTACAGACTGGTTGGTTAAAACTGTGGATGAGGGACCCACAGACAGGGAGAGCTGACTGCACTTAAACTCCAAGTGAGACACCCCCTTAAAATCCAGAAGATGAAAAGAATAAGAATCCCTGCTACCATTTGACTTAACTTTGATAATTCTACTAACATAATAAGGCCAAAAAAGAGCTAAGGTAGCAGTAAGTATGGAAAGAGAGTCAAAGTCATCACCATTTGTACACAACAGAATTGCCTACCTAGGAAATCAAAGAAAATCAAAAGTGAGCTCAATAGCCAAATATAAGATAGTCTTCCTAGATGAATTTATTTGTTGGAATAAAGTAACTGCAGGTAAATAAAAGACTGGACATTTAAAGATGTTTTAGGTGAAAAAGTAGATTAAGAGACATGTATAGTTGAAATTATGTACTACAAAAATAAATCTTCTTCCTTTTTGGTCATGTATAGTTGCTTCAAATATGAATTACTTTTGAAATCAGAATATAAAAAACAGTTAAACCCTCAAAGGCATTTGGGTCTTAGTGGTTTTATTTTGGCATATTTTTTTTTACCAAGTCTCCAATGAACAGGCAATTTCTATGTTCTTCAAAGAGCATGCATAAACACACACATACACACACACACACACACACACACACACACACACACACACACACAAAGACAGAAAATCTCCAAAACTATTCTAGAGAGCTAGTACAATTCTAGACACCAAAACTAGATGAAGGCACAAAAAAAGAAAACACATTTGGGAAACTCCCAAATAGAAAGTTATCCAATAAGATTTAGTAGTACATTCAGGAATACATCATGAGTCACAGCGTATCCTATTTGGGGATAACTCAATATTAAGAAAGCTATTACTAGTCTAGCTTGGTGGCTCAGCCTGTAATCCTGCGCCTTTGGGAGGCTGAGGTGAGTGGATTGC